TGCAATTTGCCGGAGAGCTGAGGTCAGCACAGCCTTCATCCTTTAGTGAAGGTAAACTCACAGTCTTCAAAGTGTGATTCCTAGCCCACAGCATAAGCATCAGCTGGGCACTTGTTAAACATGCAAGTTTTCTAGTCCCACCCAAAAGCTTTTGAATCCAAGACCCCAAGGCTGGAGCCCAATCTGTGTTGTAAACAAATCTTCCAGGTGATTCTGATACCTGTCTCATTTCAGATCATCAGGTGCTCAATGATGCATTTGAATGAGCTGTGAATTGTAATTCCTGCAGCATCTGTACTGCACCTGGGATCAGCACTAATGCTGCTCACTCAGGATTTCTGGCCCTCTGCCTTCAAGATCTGCCAGAGCTCTCTTGTTTCTGCCACAGCAACCAGCAACACTGTTGAGAATTGCTACTCCATCAACTTGGGTCCTGGGGTGAGGCCAACAAGAAGCAGCCCCCAGGGAATCCACCATGACCACGTAAGATGAATAAAATAATAAACATTATAATAGCTCTAAGCCACTGAGATTTGAGTATTATTTATTGCTGCAACATATCCTGACCCATCCATTCTGAAAGTCCGATTAGCCCTAATGTGCACGAATATGTTCAAATATGCCTCAAATTTTACCACATAAGTGACTTAAAATCAGCTCCATTGCAGAAGCAATGCCCATTGCCTTGTCTCAAGGAGAGAAAAGAGAGTGGGGTGGTAAAGGAAGGGCTGTGTTTGTGTACAGTGATCAAGGAACATTTGATACCTGGCAACCAAGGTAGGCAAGACTCAGCTATATCTGTGGATACTGGATGGGATGGGCAGTTCTGGCATGGATGGTTATAGAAAGAGTGCTAAGACTCTAGGCTGAGGATGGCAGTTCTGGAGCAGAAGCGGAGAAGAGGAGAAAAACAGTGGTACCCCACACTACATGTTCCAGGCTTGCTCACTCAAGCTTGGTCTTCCTTCCCTGCACAGGGATGAGCCATCCTGAGCCACACTGGGTTCAGAGAGGCAAAGGGATTTGCCCACAACTTGTATAAGTCAGTGACAAAGTCAGCCAAGGATTTTACTTCCTTCTACTACCTGAACAAGGTCCTGAGGACACAATATCAGTAGGTTCTCCCTAAGGTCTGGTGATCCTGGAGGTTCTCTGGCCTCTGAAGGGTGGAGGCAGGAACAGGCACCCCAAGACATCAGCTCCCAGATGCTCCCAGCTTCATGAGCTTCTCTTCTGGCCCCCAGCACCCTGGGCACAACACTCCTTCACCCCCTCACTACCATTTCTCCCTCGCTCAGGTTCCTCTCCCTTCCCCGCATGACAAGAAGCAGGAACAGGAGAGTGCTGTAATGACTGACGCCCACCCATTAGGGGATGAACTGTGTCCCCCTACAAATCATAAGTTGAAGTCCTAGCCCTCAGTTCTTTAGCATATGACCTTTGAGAGGTAATCAAATTAAAATGAGGCTGACGGATGTCTTTTTAAAAGGAGGAAACATGGGGACACACACACAAACACACAGGGGTGAACACCAAGTAAAGAAGGGAGTTATGCTGGGACAAGCCAAGAACCCACCAGACGCAAAGGGAGAAGCATAGCAGGGATTGTTCTATCACAGCCCTCAGGGGAGTCCACCCTGCTGCCACCTTGACCTCATACTTGCAGCCTCCAGTCAGACAAAAACTGCTGGTGAGGCTGCAAGGCTGTGCTACTTGAAGTGACAGTGCCAGGAAAGGAACAGCCACCTCACCACCAACCTCCTTCCTCCTTGCCCAGCCCAACCTGCCCACAGTGGCCAGCCCAGCCTTCTCACGGCCCCACCCCTGCCTCATGATCAGGTCCTCCATGGCCAGGGTGACGTAGTTCTCTTCTATGCATCCCTCCCCTCACACCGTCCCCCCCTCCCCAAAATCCTCCCGGGACGGCAGCTCACATGGCTCTGGTCTGTGCTAGTTTTCCTCACATCCTCTCTGCTGTTTCCTAACACCTGCACTTTAGTCTCATCTTCCCAACCTCGTTAGGTTCCATGAGGGCGGGAGCAACTTCTAGCACTTCTCTTATATGCCACAATACAGCACTAGGAGGAGGCCATAGTGGGTCTTTAGTAAGTACTGGCTGGAAACATTCTAAGAGAGCCTCTGGCTCTAGCTGGTTTCTCATGAACACCTCAAGTGACTGCAGCTGAAAGAGCTGCCTCGCTTCTCTCCTCTCCCGCCCTATTTTATAAAGGTGCTTGCAAAGCACCTATAACACTGTTGCTGCCTTTCCAGCCTCCTTCCACTAGGCTGCAAGCTCCTCTTGAGGTTCGTCAACCATCTCTCCCTTGAGTCCAGCCCCCTACATCTGTACAACTGGGAGCAACACATGTCAGAAACTACATCCCAAGCATCCAAGAACGCTATAAGGGTTTGAAAGGACCCCTGTACTCACTGAAGTGCATACAAAGGACTGCATAGGGGGAGGTTTATAAGCATAGTCTGCATTTACCAGGTGAAGGTCCATGGAGCTCTGAAAAGTTAAAGACCAAGGCAAAAAAATGTTTAAACCCAAGGCCATGGAAGAGGGAGTTAACATATCAGTAAGCCTCTCATTAATCACTTGTGCCCATGGAGCCGATGACTGTCCCTCCATGCGAGGAAATTGAGGTTCAGAGAGATGCTGTCTTGCCTGAGCTCAGAAGAGAGGCGCAGCCTGTCTAAGTGGTTCAGAGCAGATTCTGGGGCCAGACAGCCTGGGTTCAATTCCAAGTTCTACCACTTTCTAGAAGCGTGATTTTTCATCACTTAATCACTCTGTGACTGTTTCCTCATCTACAAAATGAGAGAAACAAAGGTACCTGCCACATAAGGCTGGTCTGAGGATCTGATGCACTGACGTGTGTAAGCCAGTAAAAATGAGGCCTGTGTGGGTGCATGCTCTGGAGACCATGATGATGATGAAGATGAAGAGGAGGAGGAGGAACTGGGCAGTGGCAGAGTGAGATGCAAACCTGGACCTGTGTGGCTCCTGCACACCAAGCATGCCACAGTGCTCCTGTCTCACTGCTGAAACTCTCCCATCCCCTCCTAGGAAAAGCCTTCAGTCCTGGTAACGGCTGACTTCTGGGAGGTGAGCTGGCCAGCCTGCAGTGCCCAGAGTTACATAAGGAGAACGTGGGAGGTCAGAAGCAGCCCTCCTCAGTCAGCAAGACCAGGCCTGTGCAATCAGGACACCGAGCACTTCTGCCCTGCTCTTCATTTTTCATGAGCCTTACCCATGCCCACTAATGGAAATTAGAAAGGGAATGTGCTCGTCCATTCTTGGAGACCCTGCTGATGACCCAACTCCCTTTATAATTTTCTCAAGTCTATCACTGTGCCCTGAGCCCAGAAGGGCCACTGGCATTCATCCTGCTTGGCCTTTATGAGACCCATGTCAAACCCCTAGACTGAATCCCACCCTAGAAAGACAAAGCAGTAGAAAAGCCTGAGTCCTGACCTCACTTTCCCAACCCAGATGAGGAACTGGCCAGGGGCTTGTCCAAGCCCAGTCCTCTGTCCTGCTCCTGAGAAAAGCCTTTGTGGGTTTTGCTTTGGTGGAATATCTCCGTCTTTTTCCTGCAAAGCCATCCTTATTGAACCCGTTCATGGGAGCATTTTTCATTCATTCCTGTAATGCAATTAGAATCGAGTTTCTCCAGCATTAGGGGAGATGTAACAACAACAGGGGAAAATTGTCATTTCACTCCCAACATCAACACACCCACTCTGCCCAAATTCTCTCTCTGGGGCTAGCTTACTCTATACAAACGAGTGGCAAAGAGAATACTAAAGAGGAAAATTACCCCCCAAATCTGCCTCCAAGTGAAGAGGGAGACACTTTGGGGGATAATTCTCTCAGTCATTTTATGAGGGACCCCAGCTTCTCTGACACATTCCTTCAGTTGAGGAAACTGTCTAGTGCCCACAGGAAAGCCCCTTACTGGCCCTTTTCCACTGGTCAGAGGTGAGTCGGGAAAGATTTCTTTTGAGTCTGACCAGGCCATACAATCATTCTCCCAGAAAAGTCGAGTGGCTTGTTTGAAGCCACATGCCTGGAAGTTGGGGCCAGAACCCAGATAAACAGGATCCTATTCCTTGGTGTCCCCCACTGCACCATACTGCCCCCCATCCTGAAGGACTGAAGTTGCCAGCAACTTAGTTCTTACCTCTCTGGAGAAACTAAGGCCTCAGTTTTCTAAGTCTTTGAAGATAAACAGGGAAAGAGGTAATGTATGTCTTTCATACTTCCACCACGTCCTTTGTGTATCTTAATTCTTCTTGGAAATCCTCCCACTCTTGGAACAAGAGCCTCATGATCTGTCTTACCCCTGCTACCCTTCTTCTAAGTGCTGTGATCTTGCCATCCAATCATCCAACCTCCCTCCCTCCCTTCCGTTCATCCATCTATCCATCTGCCCATCCATCCATCTATCCATCCATCCATCCATCCATCCGCCCATCCACCCCAACTCCATCCATCCATCCATCCATCCATCCATCCATCTATCCATATGCCCATCCATCCATCCATCCATCCATCCTCCCCAACTCCATCCACCCATCCATCCATTCATCCTTATGTCTCTCTACCCATTTATCCATTTGTTTCTCCTTCCCTAGGTTCTCTGTTTTATGCCAGGAACTGAGTACTTCTTTCCCCATTGCTCCTCAGAGTGACCACTCCAGAAGCATCCACCTCTATCCCCATCAAAGTCTAGAGCTGACCTGCATCCATCCACATTTAAGTGGTTGATCTGGTGCGTGAATCTGTGCTAATGTGTTTGTACCAGACCAGCACCCCCTCAGAGCTGACAGCTGGCAGAGCTTCGTGAGAGGGACGAAAGGCGCCCTTGGATCAGGTGAGGGCTGCTGCCAGGCCCTGGGTCACAGCACAACCTGCTTTCCCTCATCTCCCCTCCTCTGCTTTGCCCGCCTGCCCAGTCCCCACTAAGGCCAGAACAATGGCAGCCCCTACATACGTATGCAGAAGTCTCCATTCTCGTAGTAGCCGGGACAGCACTGGGACCTCCGCCGGTACATGGTCCGGAGGCCGCGCCGATACGCCGTCTTATAGCTGATCCTGAGGCACAAGGGAGAAAGCCACTTGAAAGTATTGAAAATCAATCACTCCTGTTAGAATGATATTTGTGTTAAGCTATATTGAAGACGCCATTCAATAATTACTTTAAAATGCATGGCAGCTTTGAATATGAAGGAACACAATAAAGAAAAATCGATGGCCGGATCTGGGACGTTGTGGTGCAGAATGTATTACTGACACGGCATTTGCTACATTGCTGATTGCTGCCAGGTCTCTTCAGAGAGATATTTTTAAATGATGTGCAAGATACTTTTTGGGCCCACGCTTTGGAGGGTGACCAGGATCCTGAGAGTGTCCATAGCCACCCCAACCCCACAATAAACAGACAGCTCTCGGCACCCTGGAACTTGGCCCACCCACCTGGAGAGCTGAAGGAGAGTCAGCAAAGAATCCTCAGAGTTGGACTCCATCCCAGAGTATGGATTAATACCACTCACACCAAAATCACACCTCCTGGAGGGCAACTTCCCACCCCAGCCAGGCTCAGACCTGCCTCCTGGCTCTGCAGAGAAGATACTGAGACCCAGGGAGCAAAAGGAGGGTGAGATCGGGAATCAGGGACCTGGGGTCTTGTTTTAACAGGGATGTAAGACTTCATCCCCTGCCAGACAGGTTTATCAGTAAATTCATTCCTTTCTCCCAATAAGCCCTAGCATAGCTAGCAATGTCATCCCCCCCACTTTGTTTTATTTATTTTAAAGAGCTTTTACTATTTTGTCTATCTCCTCTTTGTTTTATGGATGAGAAAAAGGAGATTCAGAGAAGTTAATGATCTGCTGGGGGTCACATAGCTAATAAATTTCAGAGTCATTCTAATTTCAAAACCATTAGACTTAACCTACTGCCCTGCGCCAGGGCCCACAGGATGGTTTGTTGATGTATGGGAAAGCCATAGTGAAGGAAATGGCAAAGGATATATGGATGTGGCAACCCTGAAAACGGATTCAAATGGGGTTCCAAAGGCAAAGTCCCTTCCTCACAGGTACAGTCACCGTGAGGAGACGTGAAGTGGCAGTAAAGATGAGAGAAGTAACTTCCCAAGGTCATGGCTACCACTAGGACTCAACCCCAAGTCCTCAGACTCTAAAGCCAGGGCTCGCTTTCATTTCCGCGTCATCACCCTAGGGTGCCTTCTCAGGGGGCAAAGCAGCAGGTCTGGTGATTGAAAACCCTGGGACCTGCTTCCCATGGAGGGCCAGGGCACATTGAGCAGGGACTGGGCCAGCCCACCCAGTCTTTATAGACCTCGCTTTATGACAAATGACAGTGCGAGCTCCAGGAAATCTCTGACATTTGGGAATGTCGTAGAGGAAGGTTATTCTACTTTGTCAAAACCCATAATGGAAGGCAAACTGGCCTCAAAGTGAAGCTACTTCCCCAGCAAAGGGAGGCAGCTCCTGGCAATTCAGAGGCTGCATAAGCTCCCAGATGAAGAATGGCTCAGGCTTGACTCAGAAGTCACTCAGTCCATCACTCCCCCCAACAAGGCTATCCCCAAACCCTTTTAGTGGACACGTGGTCTGGGCATCACTGAAGCCTCTCAGGAGAGAGTTTTATCCCCTGCTTCTTGATTCCCCACCTCGCTCTCAGCCCTGCAAGGGCAGGACCCGGAGGCCAGGCTGCCCTTATGGGAAGGAGGCTGCATTCTAAGGAGCCTTTCCACACTGAGGCAGACCGACGACCCAGCTGTCAGCAAACTCTAGTCATGGGGAAAACTGCAGGTTATTCAATAATTTAGGAAAATAATTCACATTCCAGGAATGCAAACTATTTTTTTTATAACAGTTTATTTTACATTTTTTTTTCCATCTCTATTGTAGTCCCCGCGGGTTTCCCATCACCAAGTCACCCGTGTGCCATCACCATAATCCTGAGCACTTCCCTCCCCACCACCCCGTTTTTGATCCCATTCCCCACTCCACCCCCACAAAATGTCTCTTGTATATGGCTGTTCATTATTCTTGTTATTTTCTCGCCCGGTCCATTATATTTCCGGTATGAGTGAAACCATCCGGTATTTTTCTCTTTCTGGCTTATCTCGCTAAGCATGATCTTTTCCAGCTCCATCCAAGTTGCTGCAAAAGACATGTGTTTCTCTTTTTTGGTTGCTGAGTAATATTCCATTGTATATATGTACCACATCTTTTTAATCCAGTCATCCACTTTTGGGCATTTGGGCTATTTCTATGTCTTTCCAATTGTAAATAAAGCAGCAATAAACATGGGGGTATCTTTTTTCAATCAGTGTTTTTGTGTCTTTTGGGTAGATACCTAGGAGTGGGACTGCTGGGTCGTAGGGAAGCTCCATGTTTAGCAGTTTGAGGAACCTCCAAACAGTTTTCCATAGTGGTTGTACTAGTTGGAATGCAAACTATTTTAATAAGCAGCAGCTCACTGACCCTTCACCAGTGGCCTCCAAGTATCTAACAAAACCCACACCTCACAGTAAACTTGCTCTGGCACGTGGCTTGCCAGGCCCACAGAAGGGGCAGGACTCTGATTCAGGCTCCACCTTTGAACACAGGGAGGTATCTTGGCATATCTAGGGGAGTTGGCAAGGGGCATGGGCCCCACCTCCTCATGTCACAGTCTGGAGTTAGAGCAAGGGGGTGCAGCAGTGGCTGAGTAACCCCTACTGTACCACCCTCCTGCAAGTAAATACACAAACTTGGGGAAGACAGAAAAAATGACTACCCTGCAGCACTGGAGAGAAGGCCTTCGAGGGTGTTGAGTTCTCTTTGCACCCTGTTCTCCAAGCCAGATGACCTGGTATAGAGCTACATTTGCACTCATGAGGACTATTTTTTCTCCCCAGCAATAGGCCCCAAGGCAAGGATTGAAAGATAAGGCATTTATTTGGGAAGCACTGGGAGGCTAGGAGAAAATAAAGGTAGCCAATTTGGGATGTGCTAATGAGCAAGTTTATATTATGGGCAACTGGGATTCTATCCTGGGAATCCTTGGAATATAGTACAGAACATGCCTCAGGGGCGCCCCTCAATACTAAAGGAGAGGAAACTGGGGTATTATACACCAACTCTCCATCCACCATTGTGAGAGGGATGCTCCCACGATAGAATCCTGTAGCACTCTGGCCGGCCCTGCCCTTCCCATAAGCTCCTCTGGCCAGAAGGAAGCCTCAGAGAAGCTCAGCAGAGCTTCTCAGTTTGGTGAGAAGGGCAATACCAGTGGCAGAAGCAGAGCGCTGACTACCGCTGCTATAGGGCATTTTACTAACTCACACCAAGGCACACCTGAGTGCCTGGCACCTTTTCCCTGCCCTAATATCCAAGAGAGGTACTCACCGATGCCTGGTGCACTTGAACCAGTTGAGGATGTCTGTGCATCGCGTATAGAAGATCTGGTCGAAGGGGTGAGCGTAAGATTCCTGGACAGTCACGGCATAACTGAGAACCAGACAGGACATATGCTTTGGTCACTGGGTCACTATGGCCAGCACTATGGAGTCTCCCTCCTCACCAGACAAGTGTCCAGGGGCTCCAACCTTCCTCCACGTCCTAAACCCCTCCCACCCTGAACCCCTTATCATTCAACTCTGGCTCCAGCATGGATCCAAGATACAGCTCTTACTGCCCCTTTGCCCAGATCATTGTCTGAAATTCTAGTTCATTTGTCCCTTTAGCAGAGAATTAAAGTTTTGGTTTACTCTATGTGGCTCTAAAGACAGAGTCAGCAAGTTTTAAAATACTTTGCTCAGATCTTTATGGTTTATGGTTTTCAAAGTACATGTATTGAGGCTGATCTATTTTTTTAATAATAATTTTCTTATTTTATATATTTTTTACATCATTCTTTATTTTTGTACAATGTGTGCTTTCTCCTCTCAGGTGTAGTCTCCGTGAAATTCCCAACATCCATTCACCCCTGCACCATCACCATATTCCTTTGTGCTCTTCCCACCACTGGGAAACTGATCTTTGCAGTAATTCAACAACATGGTCCCATTTTATGAATGAAGAAACTGAGGCTCAGAGAAAAGCCGCTTGCTGGTACCAATAACTGGCCTTCACATAGTGCACTGTGTGAAGTATTTTAACCCCTGCATAATCACCTCACATGAGGTGAATGGCATTGTTATCTCCATGTTCAGATGAGGAAACTGAACATTAGAGAGGACAACAGACTTCCCCCCAAGACCACCCAGCTACCTCCTACCCTATTATATCTCTACTATTACTGAGAGGCATACTGAGGACATACTCCCAGATTCTTGACTGAAGTGATTATCATATCATCCTGCCTGTTAGCTACAAACCTAGACGGGTGGGAAGACCCAGGGAAGCAGATCTCAGCTTTCCCAAAACAAGCCGTTCTATCCATCTGCTCTGACAGGAGTTCTATGAAAAGGTAGGCAAGCCAAGAGGCTGAAGCAGGATTCAAACTTGCTGTGAGAACTGGGAGAGGGCCCCAGCTGCAATTTCTGGAATTAATTTTTTGCAGATTGGTATTACCCCGTGCTTTCCCCCAGAAGGCTCATGACCTGGGCCATATGGCCAGGGCCAGGCTATAAAAGCCCATCTGTCTTGCCTGAAGAAACTGGTGGTTCACGTGCAAGAGGGCTTAGCATGCTCTCTGACTTAGTAAAAGGGGACCAGGAGTGGTCATCCATACATAGGACTCAGGGTGATGGGGAAAGTCTGTTTCTTGGAAGCATTGAGACTAGAAGGAGGGTCCTTGATGAGAATCTACCACTTGACACACATCTTTGCAGGCATGAACCAAACTCCCTGTTTTAGCTCCAAGTCTGGGGAAACTGAGGCAGCTGGAGACCCGTGCAGGCATCCCAAACACCCCTTCCAATTCTGAAATTCCATGTCCTTGTGTTCTAGCAAACTACTGAGCATCTCACCTAAAGGAACATTAATGGAAAAGTGTGCATGGGCTCTAAGTAAAGTCTGAACCCTGTCACTCATTAGCCACTTTTCCTTCGACATGTCATTTAACTCACATAAGCCTCCATTTCCACCTGTAAATCTGTGCTATATATTACCAAGGACTTCATATTATTAGTGAGTGCCAAAGAGGATAACAACAGTATCTAGCTCTCAAGGTGGTAGACAATTAAGATAATAAACATTTAATATTCTTAACAGGTACACAGTAAATGTTTGATAGAGGCTGGCAGTCATTATCATATGACTGGCAATGATTTACCCCACGTACTAAGCACTGAGGGTTATTTCCTCCCTGACCATGGTGAGGGAATGGGGAGCAAGACCCACAGGTTGAAAGGACTCCCATGGTCATAGGCACCCCTTTCAGCACTGATGAGAACAAGGGGTGACCAGAGAAAAGACACAACCTAACAGAGTGGGAGAAAAGGTTGTCATGGGTCAGGCCTGCTCTGTGGGTGTGTCCTGAGCTGAGCCAGACTGGCAACCACACCTTGAACCAACTCCAAGTCTCTGAGGCGAAGTGTGTGCCCCTGGTTTCATGGCTGGGTGGTTTAACATGCTCATTTGCCAACATGCTAATGAGGGGCCAGATTAATCTTGCAGAGCTGGGCTTCACTAGCCAGGAGAGGTCTTCCCACTGGGTTTAAGGGTGGAGGGGCATAATTAACAAGGAACCCTCCAGAAGCACTAAGCCAGTTCGGAAATTCTCTGTAAGTAGTCTCTGGAGACCCGAGAGGGTTTCTGGACTTATACCAACTAGATCCAGCCACAAGTAACTGGCAATACAGCCAGTTGGAAAAGCCTAGAAGGAGGTGCCCTGGTGGCACAGGGCATCACTGCAAGGCCTCCTCCCTAACTAGAGAAGCCTGGTGCTGCCACCTAATTTTAGCTGTCAGGGTCCCTCCCTGTCTTCTCATCTCAGCTCCAACCCCTGGACCAGGAGCCCAATTAGCCTGAAATGCCACATAGGGAAGCCTTGGTCAGAGGATTTTCACATTACAAATTTACTCATGTGGGCAGGTTTCAAAAGTTTGGTTTAAGGTCTAACTGACCCACTGGTGCAAAGGGACTCAGAGAAGAAGGAAGACAGGGTAGGTCCTACCTTCAGAGAAAGAGGAAAGGGGCCTGGAAAATGCAGACATGGGCAAAGGAGGCTTTCCAGAGCCTGGGATACATTGCAGGTATCCAAGAAGACAAGAAGGGGTTGCTGGAGTCTGCAAGCCAGAGATTAATCTAATGTGAAATTCTACCTGCTATCTCTCTCATCCACTGGGAAATAAAGATTTAAACTCACCAAAGCCAAAAGGGCCAAGAGGCCTGAAAGCCTCAAGATCACATGGAAAGCTTATGAAAAATGCATATTCCTAGGCTCTACCCAAACCAATAAAATCAACGTCTTTGGGGAGAGGACCCAGGAGACTCTGTTTTCTATATGTATCCCCAGTGCACCTGGTGCACATTCGTCTGCAACAGTCAGTTCCTGCAAAGTCAGAATTATCAGCAAGAAAAGACAAAGAAAGAGTTTTGTGGTTCTCAAAGCACTTTCATGAAACTAGTATCCTGATCCTCCAACCGTGTGGCAGGACTAATTACTTGACAGAGGTGGAACGTAGGCTCAGAACAGTGCAGAAACTCCAAACCCACAGCTAGCAGGTGGAAAGAGCCAGAGTAGCATAAACAGTGGGGTCAATGTCTTCTCACCATAGTTCTGGTGCCCACAGCAACACAGCCTTCTTCTCTAGCCTGTCCTCTGCTGGGACCCCACAGAGTGCTCACTGGAGACCACAGAAGTGCCCCCAGGACCCTGCGTGCGGTGCTGCTCACTGTCTTGGGCTAGGACATTCAGCCTCACAGCACAAAGCAGGGACCGTTCCACCTGCCTGTCCTCCTCTACCTTCCACCTCCCCCACGGGGCCCTCATCTTAATTTTATTCATTTGATTTATTAACATCTAAGTGGCAGAGTCATCCTGGTCAGCATGGCCAATCAATTCCAGGGTTTAATTCGGTTTTTCCTGATTGGGTCTCTGGTCACTGTCTTTGTGCTCACCAAAATCAATACTTTAACCTTGTGCTTCAAAGTCAGGCCGGGCCTTGCAGATGGTCCCCCTAGACCTAATGCCGCAGCCAGAATGCAGCCGGCTCTTCTGCCACAGCCCTTACCACCCTTCCCCTGGCAGCTTCCCCACACCTCCACCAGATGGGAAGCAGCAGGGCCCTGTCACCCCTCTGGGGAGGCTGCAGGCCACAGCCCAGCTGCTATGCTGTTACCAGCCTTGGGAGACCAGGAAAGGCTTGGAAGCACCAGAGATATCACATCGGGAGCAGTCACTGAGGCCCACCTGTCTGTGGATGGGCACAGAGCCCATCCTTCCTCGTCTGTAAAGTGGCTGAACACGGAGGGCCATGAGTGCATTGCCAGCTACCAGATAGCATCATTTAACCCCCTCCACCCTGACACCCCACAGCTGAGTCTCAGGTGGGATTTATACTGCATGGTCCTGTCTATGACACCTGTCTCTCTCCCCGACTGGACTGCAGACCCTGGTGGACACATCTATACCTCCAGTCCACTTTGTCCCCACAGTGCTACACCGAGGGTGAGGCGCCCTGGGAGTGCCTGGCCCTCTGAGAGGCAAATTATCTTACCTCTCCCAGTGGCTGCACACATTGGGGTCCTCAGGATTCAGGGAGAGGGCAGTGTGCAGGAGGGAGAAGACCAGGAGCCCCGCCACGGAGAACGCCATCCCGGGGCCTGTGTGGGAGAACAAAGGAGGCAGCGAGCGTCATCAATCAGGCTGTTTTCCAGGGCATCTGTTGGTGCTGAAAATTCTCACACATGAAGTGGCAGAACAGACTTGCTAAGCAGACTAAGGTTCCCGTCCCTGTTGGGTAATGAGCATTTGATATTTTACACTTGCAGGTTTTGACTAACACAGTAACACTTCACCAGTTTTGAGTAACCAGGGAGTGGGAAGGCTGAGTCAGGAAAAAGTTGAAATTCAAGGCTAGGGTTTTGGAAAGTGTTTTGGCTATAGAATACTATAGAATTTGTGAATGTAATGCAAGTTAGAGCCTCCTCCCAGCTAAAATGCCCCCCCCCACACACACACACAACACTTGGCTATAATTTCTGGGTATCCTCAGACCCCTGAGTCCATCCTTGGACCAAGAACCCCTGATCTCAACTCCTTTAAAGGTGAGGCCTTCTCCTCCCACAGTTCCCTTCTCCCTCAGCTCTGACCCACTTGCCAATTCTCCTTCCCTCCATTTTCACCCCCACCCCTCACCCCACGAAGAGGAGAAGGTACCCTTGGGGGAGCTGAGCTGAGACAGCCCTTCTAGGCAGCTGTCAGGAAAATCACCCAGAAGACTGGATCTAACTTCTTTTGCTCACATGGATGGGATGGTGACCACTGGCACTCAGAGTGATGCCAGTCACTGCCCATCTTGCCAACTGGGGGATGGAGAGCTTGGGCAGCCTGGAAAAGCTTTAAAGAAGCAGTTTAAGCTTCTGTACAGCAAAAGAGACATTATGAAAAACAGACATCCCACTGATTGGGAAAAAATTTTCTCACACAAAACTAGTGATAAAGGATTGATCACAAAGATATACAAAGAACTGATAAAACTCAACAAAAATAAACAACCCCATCAAAAAATGGGCACAAGAGCTACAAAGACACTTCTCCAAAGAGGAAATGCAGATGGCCAACAAGCATATGAAAAAACATTCAACATCACTTGTAATAAGAGAGATGCAAATTAAAACCACAATGAGATACCACCTCACCCTAGTGAGAATGGCACATCTTCAAACAACCAACAACAACAAATGGTGGCGAGGATGTGGAGAAAAAGGAACTCTCCTGCACTGCTGGTAGGAATGCAAACTAGTACAACCACTATGGAAAACTGTTTGAAGGTTCCTCAAACAGCTAAACATGGAGCTTCCCTACGACCCAGCAATCCCACTCCTAGGTATCTACCCAAAAGACACAAAAACACTGATTCAAAAAGATACCTGCACCCCCATGTTTATTGCTGCTTTATTTACAATTGGAAAGACATAGAAACAGCCCAAATGCCCCAAAGTGGATGATTAGATTAAAGAGATGTGGTACAATGAAATATTATTCAGCAACCAAAACAATAAATAAATAAACACATGCCTCTTGCAACAACATGGATGGAGCTGGAAAAGATCATGCTTAGTGAAATAAGCCAGAAAGAAAAGGAAAAATATCGGATGGTTTCACTCATAGCAGGAGTATAACAGACCAGGTGAGAAAATAATAATAATAAACAGTCATATACCAGAGACATTTTGTGGGGGTGGAGTGGGGAATTTGATCAAAAACAGTCATGGGAAGGAAATGCACTGGGCTATGGTGATGGCACATGGGTGATTTGGTGATGGGAAGCCCACAGGGATTACAACTGAGATGGAAAATGCACAAATGATGTAAAAATAAGCTATTATATTATTTTTTAAAATAATAAATAAAAAGAAGCAGTTTATAGAGTGTACCAACCAACTCTCCTTGATCCCTTAAACTGAGGATTCCCTCTGACCGATGGAGGCAGAGAACCATTAAAGTATGAGTGGCCGAGAGGACCTGGCCTCCTTCCTGTCTTGTCATTACAGGACCCCAGGTCCTATACCCTTAGACAACTAAGACACCAAGTGGTGGGGGTACAGGGGACCCCAGAGCCACCTCCAGGGGAGCCAGACTGCATAAGCGCCCAAGCATAGTTCATAGCCTAAAGGAACACTGTGCCTCCAAACGACAGCACTATTTCTCATGGGCACATGGATCCTACTGTGATTTGCTTAAAAGCATTATTGAATTCAGAGTAGCTTTTCTTCTCAATCAGTCACTAAAAAAAAAAGGCAACATAATAATACCTGGGGGCAGGGATGGTACAAGAAGTACTTTGACATGGGAAAGGTCCCTGGGCCTGAAGTAGTTGAGGATATAGCCTCCTGGCCCCTGTTGACAAATGAGGAGGCACTCCGCCTTCTTGGGGACAGAGGCGAGGAGCATGGAAGCTGCACACTCATTTGAATCCAGAGAGGAGCTTAATTGAGCCCCAGTCTTCATGAAAGGTTAAACACTCTCCTCCCCACCCCCTATTATTTCCTTGTTAAGGTTTCCCAGCAGTTCCTTCAAAGATAAACAAATTGTCACAAATTTTGTATGACCATGGGGGTCCAAATTAATGATTAATGAAGTTTTTTTTCTCCATTTAGGATCTGAAAATAACCTGGCTAAATGTGCTCTGAAAATAGGTTAGAAAAGAGAAGAGCAATTCTGGTGCTTCTGCTCAATGTTCACAGAGTCCAGGATTACTCAAACCACAGCTGCTCACCCCACAACTCTTTTCCCCGCCCTACCTACCCTGACCTGACACCCCCAGTCATCAGAGACCTATTCAGCACCTCTAAGGAGCCCTGCACAAACTGGAGTCCATACAGAAAGGACAAGAAAGAACCTGACATGGCATTGAGTTTTGAGAAGAGGACCGGCAGCCTCTTACAGATGGGGTTTGGGCTGATCAGATGTCACACAAATAGAGAAATAAGAAAGGGACACAGTGCTTGAGAGAGTCGGAGTCCGAATGCTAGCTGAAGGGAATGCCTCATCTTGGTTCTCTCCATGGCTCTAGCTCAACACTTTGATGGCTTCTATAACCCCCAGCATCCTTCGAGAGGACTCGCTGGCCTCATCTTCAAACGTATGAAGCTTAGAATATCAAGAATAAGGAGTTTCTTCCTCTGGCCTCTTTGACCCCCGGTGACAGGAGAGGGGTCGGTGAGGGAGGTAACTTGTGTCCTCTGAGCCCCTTGCCCTCAATACCTCAGAGCCCCAGGTCAGGTCCCAGCCCCCCTGTCAACATGCAGAGCTCAGAACCTCAACACCTGGGTCATGTGCAGCTCTCACCCCCACTCTTCCCCCACTGACAGCTTTCCAACATGTTTACATTATCTCTCTGTTGAGTCTGTAAATGCCTTGATGGTGGGGTCAAGTCCTAGACTGAGCTAGTCAGTTCCTTCTAGTGTCAGGAGCTGACTTTAGAAAGTATTTCTACTTGTCTCAGACACTTCACTGAGGCAGCGTGAAGAGCATCCGAAAAGGGGCTGTCCCCACGTGGGACCACTCATTGCTGTTAACTCTAATGGGTCTTCCTTCGCCAGGCTCTCTCTCAGCGGGTGGACCCCAAAGACGCAAGCTTATGAGATGACTGAAGGAAAATCAATCCTGCCGCAGTGGTGATTAGGCTGACTCCATTCAGAGCGACAGAGGTTAACCTATTGGGCACCATCTGATTTAGGACATTAATTATTAAATAAGAAAATGCCCCTGGTTTCACTTCAGAGGAAGAGAACATGGGAACAGATCAGCCAGTTCGCTTCCCTCTTGTCCATGCTCCCTGCATATTAAGAAGCAGCGGGGAGGGGGGGCGGGGGTGAGTGAAGTTCCAGAGGTGGAGACATTTCTTCCTGGGGGGGGGGGGTGATACCCCTGAAGAAGAGACAGCAGGACAAAGGAAGAGAAAGTGGCCAGGATGTAAGATGTAAGGTATACACCTGCCCACGGGCTTAGACAGTCTACGCACTGGCACCGCCCAACCCAAGGGTCTGAGTACCCCTGAAGCACTGCCTGCTCCCCTGGGGCTACAGCACAAGCAGTTTATTTGAGGAAACAAAAGCAAGTGGTTAAGTCCCACTGGAGAGTGGGGCACGCTGGTAACTGGTGGTATGGATGGGACTCAGAATGGACAACATGCAGAAAGGTAGAGGGCGAGGAAAGGCTGTCAGGACCAGTCCCGCCAAAGCAAGCACTGAGATGGTGCTGGGGGTCTGGGGGCAGTGCCGGGCAATGTGAGGACCTCCAGAAGGCGTTTCCCAAGGCTGGGTTCTATGGAACACCAGTCTCACGAAGTATTGATAGAAATCTCCCAAGCAAAGGTTTCCACGAGTGAAGACGTCCAGGAGACGTGGCACGCCGTGTCCTCATCTTAAATATGCAGTGTTATCTTAGAATATGTTAGGCCTTGAGATGTCCTGAATAGGCGTGTTTTACCCACTTGACTCCTTTCTCACCCAGTGTTCTCCACTCTGGGAGCAGGAGTCCTCGGGATACCAGTATGGGAAACTCTGATCCTCTTCATCAAGGGGAAGTGTGAAAGAAAGTTTGGTCCTGTCGATCTGTATCTTCAGGATTTGTATTTGCTTATTTATTCCAATATTTGAGGGGCTTCTGTGCTTGGCATGTGATGTTAAGGAAATCTGCAGTGGGTATTAAGAGACACTGACATCATTTGCTGGCTGAGCAGACCTTAGAGTGGGGCATCCTCCAGACACCCTACCTCTGCCGGGGGCCCCGCCACCACCTGTTGAGTCCAGCCTATCTGATAGAGGCACACACCTGGCCAGACACCAGATGCTCATATTAACCAAGATTAAAAAACAAACAAACAAACAAACAAACAAACAAAAAACAGGGCAGAGAGCAGACAAACAGATGGCCTCTGTCCTGGGATCAGTTGTTATGACCTCACAATCCATCTGTGCAAAACTCCTCTCCCACCTGCTTTGCTTCCACCACCTGTCACGTTCTCCTATTTGTGCCAGAACCTTGGATACAGGAACCTGGGTCCATACACCTAGAACCTACTCTCTGTCTACCCCAGTCTCTTCCAGGGAGCTTTTCCTTCTCAAGTTTTTTTGCACTGGAGGCAG